CTGACACGGTCATGCCATTCCTCCATGTTAGAGCTGTAACATGGCACTTCTCCATTCTAGCAGTTTAACATGTCAGTCTTCCACTCTAGAGGTTATAATTCCTCTATTACATCGGTGTCAACATTTCTCCATTCTAGAGGTGTCAACATTGCTCCATTCTAGAGTTGTAAACATTGCTCCATTCTAGAGTTGTCAACATTGCTCAATTCTAGAGTTGTCAACATTCCTCCATTCTAGGGGTGTCAACATTGCTCCATTCTAGAGGTGTCAACATTTCTCCATTCTAGAGGTGTCAACATTTCTCCATTCTAGAGGTGTCAACATTTCTCCATTCTAGGGGTGACAACATTCCTCCATTCTAGAGGTGTCAACATTCCTCCATTCTAGGGGTGTCAGCATTATTCCATTCTAGAGGTGTCAACACTCCTCTATTCTAGAGGTGTCAAAATTGCTCCATTCTAGAGGTGTCAACATTGCTCCATTCTAGGGGTGTCAACATTGCTCCATTCTAGAGGTGTCAACATTCCTCCATTCTAGGGGTGTCAACATTTCTCCATTCTAGAGGTGTCAACATTCCTCCATTCTAGAGGTGTCAACATTGCTTCATGCTAGAGGTGTCAACATTTCTCCATTCTAGAGGTGTCAAAATTCCTCCATTCTAGGGGTGTCAACATTATTCCATTCTAGAGGTGTCAACGTTCCTCCATTCTAGAGGTGTCAACATTCCTCCATCCTAGACGTGTCAACATTCCTCCATTCTAGAGGTGTCAACATTGCTTCATGCTAGAGGTGTCAACATTCCTCCATCCTAGACGTGTCAACATTCCTCCATCCTAGAGGTGTCAACATTCCTTCATCCCAGAGGTGTCAACGTTCCTCCATTCTAGAGTTGTCAACATTCCTTCATCCTAGAGGTGTCAACATTCCTTAATCCTAGAGGTGTCAACATTCCTCAATCCTAGAGGCGTGAACGTGCAGAGGAAAAGAGCTGGAGCTGCAGGCGGGTCAGGAGGCAAGGAGAAGGGGTTGAAAGACTAGTATGAACCTCCCGCCTATGTCTATGAACAATCCACTCCCTCATCTCGGAGGCATACAACACTCCCTTCATCCATCTTGCATAGGTACAAAGCACTTCTACGAGTCAAATAAGTGCGGTAATCATAAACTAGTATTTGAGATCTCCTACTGTAAACATGATATGGGCAACAGATCACAGTATGTCGGACAGAGGTAAGAAATCAAGTCTATGTTCAAAAAGCCTACCTCAACCAAATGAAGAAATAAGGACACGATATTGAAACTATGTCTTGTTCAAACACTTCTTCTTTCTTCTTTTTTTTTTTCAGGGTCTGTGGCTTGAGCGTTGCAAACACGGTTCGTAATTCTAGGGTGTTGGGTTCTATCCCAGCTGCGGACGATTTGGTAGCAGCCCACCGTGCGTTGGTTTCGAGTGATATCGAAAACCGAAGGTCGAGTGGCAATGGTGTAATAAAGTCCTACTGTGCGTCCTTTACAGGACGTTGCAGAACCAACCCCAGCATTGTTTTGTCGCCCTTTGTGATGTTACTCAGCAATTTTATGTTCTGCAATTTGCCTCTGCGATACTACACGGTCGCTTCTCGACAATCCTGTCCAAACCAACGCCAGACGGTCTGCAGCCAAATCGCCAACAGCTGGCATCGGACCCAGCACCACCTCAGCATTACGAAGCGCCATTCCAACACCTACGCCACAGACGTCGACCTGGCATAACTACTGTTAAGTAAAATTTGCACAGTGAAACAGTGAAACCAAACAATCCCAACAAATTCTGCGGCTGGTGCTGCAACGTGCTGTAAAAGGTTAGTTGCGTGTCCTTTACATGACGTTGCAGAACCAACTCCAGCAGCCCCTGGCTGTTGTGTGATTTCTCTAGGCAAATTTACGTCCAGTAGTTTGCCACTGATATCTGGACGGTCGGCCCCTTGATATCACTGTCGAAACCAACGCAAGGCGCATGGCCCGTAGCTGGGATCGAACCCGGCACCCCGGCATTACGAAGCCTTCGCATCGACTTAGCCACAGAGCCGACAACGTGCTGTAAAGGCCACGCAAACTCAAACTAACAAACATCCGATTGCAGCAAACTCCTAATTACTTGCCGTGCACGACGCTGGATTGGGGAGGAAGGGAGGGGGAGGGGGGGGATAGGGTATATGGCCCTAAGGAATTGAGCCTTGGAACTCATGATGGCGTAAAAACCTCGTATATGAATGCAGAGGAGTAGCTGCCAGGTGGTTACGGAGTTGGGCTCTAACGTGGCAGACCCAAGATCGATCTCCGGCAAGGGATGTTTTCTTTCAAAGGAAACCCATAAAAGTTTGTGGAGATTGCACTAGACATGATGCCTTAAATCCTTAAGCTCATCAGCAATCAGCATGTTCCTTGCAGAACGTCGATCTCAGCACTGCACCCCTGAAAGTCTCTTCCTCCAGCCAAGTCTCTAGCCCTATGTGCTTTCGTAGCCGATGCGTCCTTAATGTTTTGTTTCCACCTTCATAAAAATCTGCCTCTATCGTTGTCCAGAAAGTGTAGCCTCCATCAATGTTCTCTCCGGACCCCACCAGGACGCCCACCAAGGAGAAGGGGGGGGGGGGAAGGAGGAGGAGAAGAGGAAGAGGAAGAACAAGAACAAGAAGAAGAAGCAGCAGCAGCAGCAGCAGCAGCAGCAGAAGAAGAAGAAGAAGAAGAAGAAGAAGAAGAAGAAGAAGAAGAAGAAGAAGAAGAAGAAGAAGAAGAAAAAGAAGAAGAAGAAGAAGAAGAAGAAGAAGAAGAAGAAGAAGAAGAAGAAGAAGAAGAAGAAGAAGAAGAAGAAGAAGAAGAAGAAGAAGAAGAAAGAAGAAGAAGAAGAAGAAGAAGAAGAAGAAGAAGAAGAAGAAGAAGAAGAAGAAGAAGAATTGGAGAAAATGCAGCAGTAAGAATTAGAGAAGAAGGGTGAGAAATAGGAGGAGCACAGTAGCAGGTAAGAAAAAGATAAAGTAGAAGAAGAACAAAGAAAACCTAGAAGCAGAAGAACTCCGCACTTCAGTTATTCTCAACGATCACTGTTCTCACAAAGTAACCACCGTTGTTAAACTAATACGAAAGCGAGATGGGGGTGGGGGGCGCTATAAAGTGTCAATATTAGAGTTCCATTATTTCGACATTTTTTCCTTTCAAGAGAACAATATTTCTCGCATTTCTCAACAATCGTTGACGCTGGACGGCCAGGTTCAGGCGAAAACACGTTAAGGTTTAGGGAAGGGGGGAAAGCATGGGCCATCTCAAATATCTCCACTTGTGGCTGGTCAAACAAAAAACCGCCATTTATGTCCATGAACAGGCAGCAGTTCATTCAATTCATTCCTTACGTCCTTCTTAGGACGTTATTTTTTGTTATTTGAAGCCCCACTCTGGCTTTTGCCAGGGGCCGCAATATAGGCAGGTCATCATTATGGCCAAATGTCTGAACGCGGTTTCTGGGACCTCTCAACGGTGATCCTCATCCGCATGGTGGCACTTTGTGTCATCGGGTGTTTGTCGCTTGTGTGATGTCCTGGTGGGGTAAAAAGCCAATCCAATCCAGCAGTCGGCCGGAGTTATCGGAGACGTGTGGGGTTCTGGCCTTTTGAGTGGGAGCTTAGGCAGTTGCAGGACTGCCAATAGGATTTTTTTTTTTAACCCAGCTTCGCTAAACAAAAACCCAAGCAATACAAAGACAATAAACAGAAATTTTTTTTTTTAAACCCAGATTGTTAAAATGTACGAAATTTATAGTTACGAAACGAAACATTTACCACTTTTATATGAGGATATATTTTTTTTTAAAATCCAGATTTCCCTGAGGCCTCTAAGAAAAACCCAGATCTGAGGGGGAAAACCCAGCACTGGCAGCCCTGTTAGGCAGTGGTGCAGTTAGGGGGAGTGGCAGGTAGGCAGGTTCTTTCCGGTTCTGGTCGTTTGCAGGGCTGCCAAGGCCGGACTTCTAACCCCAGATCTGGGTTTTTATTTGACGCCTTGGGTTAACATTTTGAATTCCGGGTTTTAAAAAAAAAAATCTATTCTTATATAAAAGTGGGTAACTGTTTCGTTTCGTAACTATAAAATGTGTACTTTTAAACAATGTTTTTTTTTTTCTATGTATTGCTTGGGTTTTTGTTCAGGTTAGCTGGTGGGGAAAAAACCCATCGGCAGTCCTGGTCGTTTGAGAAGGGAGGTTAATGAGTGGTGCAACTGGGGAGTGGGAGGCGTGCAGAGATAGCTGAGGGACGCTGGTGAGAGACTGGCCATTCCTGGTTTACAGTATATTTATATATATATAATTAAAGTAAAGGACCCTTTTCCACGCCTGTAGGGCATATAGGGATAGACCTATATTTTATAGACCAATCGGCACAAGATGCGTGAAGTGGTCAGCATCACGCTGTCCCCCTTTACTTTCCAGGACTGCACCCGGGTACCCACTCAAGGCTGGGTCGACCTGGGAGCCAAGGTCACTTTTGAAAAAAGTCCGGCTCCGCTAGGGAGCGAACCCACGACCCTTCGATCCACGGCGAGCGTATATATTGGCATGGAGGCTGGCAGGCAGAAATAAATATATATATATCCGCATAATCTGGTATAAAGCGACCTGACTAGACAGACAGACAGACATGGTATCGAGGTAGTAGACGAAGAAAAAAGAAGAAGAAGAAGAAGAAGAAGAAGAAGAAGAAGAAGAAGAAGAAGAAGAAGAAGAAGAAGAAGAAGAAGAAGAAGAAGAAGAAGAAGAAGAAGAAGACAACGTCGAAGAAGGTACAATACGAAAACGTACAGATTATTTGCCTCGAAAAAGCAAAGATAGTTTACCTCGAAGAGACAACAGAAAACACGCGCTGAAAAAGGCAAGATAGCTCGTCACGAAAACATATAGAGAGTAGGCGCCGAAGAACCAAATACAGTTTACCCCTGAAGAAGCAAAGGAAGTCCTGACAGCAACTCACCTGTCCTGCGCCCACTGCTGGTACTTCTTCTGGATGCTGTTCTGTGAGCCAGTCGGGGTCAGCTTGCTGGCGTCGAAGAGCTGCAGCGGGAAGGACGGCGTGCCTGGAGACATCAGCTGGTTCCGCAACATCTGCATCTGACGTTCGTACATTTGTCGTTGCTTCTCGAGGGCCTCTAGAAAACAAAGGAACACATTTTAGCACAAGAAAACCTTCGCTACAAACTGCTGTGTTTCTCCGAAATTAAGAGCTTTCAGTATGCTAGCAATCAAAGCGTTACTACACATTTCTTTGAGTCCCAAGGGATGCATCATACGTTCACATGTTCCTACCTAGAAGCCCAATGAACACACGATGCGCCGAATTTATTACTCTCTTTACTACCCCGTGGGTCTGTGATGCTAAGCCCCCTGGGACTCAAAGAGTTTTAAGTCCTCGGTCAGACGGGCGGATTTCGTTAGTCCGTTGGTACTCGCGACGGAATTACCGAATTATACAGAGATGTTCCAGAGGAGGATAGCAGTACTGTCTAAAATACTGTCAATTACTGGCTTTATTATACCACTTTTGCGGCGTAGGCAGGTGAAATCTTTGAGCCTAAGCATTTACGGCCGCATGGCTAGTGCTGTCGCCACGACTGTGCAAGTGAGGATTTTATTTTGCCCCTGATAGAAAAAAATCCCCAGCCTAACCGAAGATTCGAACCTGTATCTCTCGCTTGAGAGCCCAGCATACGAACCATTCGGCCAACCGCTTGACTTGACTTGACTATTACAATAAATTCAGGTTTCTGAACATGAAAACAGAACATCCATATAAATTAAGCCCACAGGCTTCTGTCCGAGCACAAATCTATATAAAACTTGCTCTTTTCTTCTTCTTCCGGAAAACTGGCAATACTAAATTGATACAGCCATCAAGAAAGGAATAGGAGTTCTCTCCAACTCCCACCATAACAGGCGCTGCTAACAGGTGTTGACAATGACATCCTTAGTAGGCAGTGGCAGTTCCTAGGGGACAATGAAGTGTGGCCGCTAGTTTCTAGAACAGTGTCTGCTAAGAGTGTACATTCCAATGAGGGACTGCCAGTCTCTGCCACACAGTACACATAAACAGGCTGACGATCCATCATCCTGAGGCTGGTTTTTCTCACAGACGTCGGTTCTTTAATAATATCCTACGCCAGATGAGGTCACATGACAGTCCACGATTTTAGAGGGTGGTAAGACTGGATTTTCCGACTTTCTGATACTTTTAACGACCCCCACCCCCCCTCCCTTCCCCGGAAAAAATATCTACAACTGGGCCTAACCCCAACCCACCTACGTCCCACAAGAGAGTGCAGCCTAGGTCCCACGACTGCATGCAGCCTAGGTCAAAGGACTGCATGCAGCCTATCTACCACCCTCCTGAAATACTAGACTGTCCCGTGACCTGTGGATCTCCCCTATTTGAGGTAGGATATTAATAAAGCACCCAGACGTCTCCTCTCTATAGCTTGCAACGTTTGGCTTCTTTCAAACTGCAACAGCCTTGTCTTTTTTTTTAAAAAAAAAGTCAGTCTGTGGCTGATATCTCCAAAGTGCCTGTGTCAATGTCCGGTGTCGTTTGCAAATGTTCTTTAGCGTAGAACTGGCCTTCCTGCAGATCTCACCCTTGTTGCCAGTTCACCAAGCAGAAGATCCTTGACATCCTGATATACACTTCTTCTTTTAAGTTGCGTATCCTTTACAGGACGTTGCAGAACCAACCCCAGCAATGTTTTTTGGCTGTTGTGGTTTTTCCAGGCAAGTTTACGTCCAGTGGATTGCCACTGCTTCTGAACGGTCAGTTTCTCGATACCACTGTCGTAACCAACGCAAGCGCAAGACTCGCAGCTGGGATCGAACCCGGCACCCCGGCATTAAGAAGCGCGTTCGCACGCCTTAGCCACAGACGCCGACTGATACACACTATTACAGCGAAATACTGCTTCGAAAATGTTGGAGAGTGACGAGTCACCCAGAGAAACCTGAAATTCATTCTTCTGTGATCGCTTCATACACGATGGATGTACCAGTCCCAAGTAATATATCAGTCTACTTCCTTGTCAGCCTACCAACAACTCTATCCATCTAGATTAACAGTTCTCAACCTGCTCGTCGCGACCCTTTTTGGGGGAAAGGGGGGGGGCAGGGGGTAAAACGATCCTTTCATAGAGGTCGCCTAAGACCATCGGGTAACACATATTCTTTAAAGTTATAAAGGCAAATAGTTGTTTGGGAGTCGCCATAACACGAGGAAACTTTACTAAAGGGTCGCGGCATTAGAAAGGTTGAGAGCCACTGGTCTAGATAGATTTATTACCATACACGTAATTATGTTTGTTTAGCAACGTAAGCATAATTAGCAAAGCATGACGGTCTACTGTTTTTGTAAATTGTTGCTGTTTATTATTAGACCTATGCTAGGGAATGTTAGAAGGCCTGAGTGCCCAATTCTAAACCCAATTAGAATAAAGTTTGCACGTTCGTTCTTTAAGCTTATCTATCTGCATGACGATCCGTATGTCAGTGACCAGGGCTACCAATGCTGGCATTCTTCTCCCCCCCCCCCCCCCCCCCAGATCTGGGTTTTTATTTGACGCCTGGGGGAAATCTTTTTTTTTATATCCTTATATAAAAGTGGTAAATGTTTCGTTTCGTAAATATAAATTGTGTACATATTAACAATCTTTGTTTTTAATTTTTTTTTTTTTTTTTTTTGGTTCTTTGTCTATGTATTGCTTGGGTTTTTGTTTAGCGAAGCTGGGTTTTTCAAAAAAATCCTTTTTGGCAGCCCTGTTAGTGACCCCTCTACTAATGAACAAACCTCTGTAAGCAGGGCTGCCATTGAGATTTTTATCAAAACCCAAGCTAAGCTGAACAAAACCCCAAACAATACATAAGTAAAAAACCAAAAAACCCAAGATTGATAAGGAAAAGTACAAAGTTTATAGTTACGAAACGAAACATTTACCCACATTTATATAAGGATATATTTTACAAAAACCCAAGATTACAAAATATGAACCAAAGGCTCAATATAAAAACCCAGATCTTAGGGAAACCCAAAGTATTGGCAGCCCTATCTGTAACCACTCTTCCGTCTCTCCTCGAACCAGTTCAGCCTTACCCACATCAGCCACCCCAGACACCACGACTGCCCTCTGACCCAGACTTGCGTGCCACACAACAAGAACCACCCAGACAAGTCCGGATACATTTCCCCCTGTCACTGGGCTCGGGCATCATACTTATCCGATTTCTTAGTACACCGTCTGCTCGCTGTGTCTAAATAAATATTTTCATACAGAGTTGATTCCTGGCGCCCCGTCTGCATAATTCCTGGCACGCATCTGTTCCCGAATCGTCTGGAACTTTCCCTATGCCCGATCTGTTTCCCATTACAGATCCGAAAATTAGGCGAACAGATAGAATTTTTCTTTGGCGACGTGGTGATGTTATGTTTGAAGTTACTGCTCTATGTTGTTTTAAGGTGTCTAGCTGTTGTTATATGGGCGCGGCATGCTTTGTGCATGCACGCACGCGCGCGCGCACATACACACACATACATACATAGATTACAGATAGATACATACAAATTTATGCACCTAAACACCCCCCCCCTTCCACTCCCTGAATGCCTACACCCAAGACACAAACAACACACAGCCTAATACCAGGGCTGCCAATGCTGGGTTTTTATTTGACGCCTTGGGTTAACATTTTGAAATCTGGGTTTAAAAAAAAATATAAGTGCTTATCAAGAATTTAGTAAATGTTTTGTTCTATGCTTATGTATTGCTTGGGTTTTTTGTTCAGTTGAGCTGGTTTTTTTAATTAAAAAAAAAGGCCTTTTGGCAGCCCTGCCTAATACCCGCTTTGAGATAGCTACATAGCTAAGCCAGCTGCGCGGCAACCGGGTGACAAACTGTTTGTTCACGCTGGCGGCAGGCAAAAACGCCACATGTTTCCCAGATTTACGGTATCTATCACAAAATCAAGGCCGAAGGATTGCGATATCCATTGTACCGAGCAGGGCTGCCAATAGGATATTTCTGAAAAACCCAGCTTCGCTAAACAAAAACCCAAGCAATACAAAGACACACAAAAAAAAAAACAGATTGTTAAAATGTATTGTTACGAAACGAAACAGTTACCACTTTTATATAAGGAGATATTTTAAAAACCCAGATTTCCCTAAAGCGTCAAATAAAAAACAAGATCTGGGGGGGGGGGGGGGGACCAGGCATCAGCAGCCCTGGTACCGAGCCATAGGCGTTACAACTCATTGTTTGTGGACCCCCCCCCCCCCGCACACCCACACAAACCCGCCTTTAATCACCACTAGCCAGCGCCGCAGCCCGACCGCTAGCGCCCACCAATAAACGCCACCAGCGCAGGAACACAAATCTCCGTTTACAGCAAGCACTTAGGCCGAAACACATCAAACCAGGACCTCTGGCCCATTTCTGAAATGACGATCCTAAAATAGACCGGAGAGCAGATAGCTGGACACGATAAGGGGCCAAGGGAAGACGATAAACGGTCGTGTAAATGGAAGGCGACAGGGAAGTTTCGTGTGACAGCCCAACGTTGTCTACACACACCAGCTCGATACATGTATAGGTACTGAAAACTCTAAAAATGAAGTGCCAAGAGCTGTGGTAAGATCTGTGAAAAGGTCTGTATAAGGTAAAAGGATTAGGTTTTTTTTTATATAGGTTATTGAACAACGGATCAACATCATGGCACACGGGTAGAAACCCATAACCTCTCTGTTCTTCTTCTAACTCAAGTCTGAGTCCGAAGACGCTTAGCACAGTCACAGGCTCTGTAGCACCGGCGACGATCCTGAAATACTTCGGGTAGATTTTTAACTCCAAATTTTGCCCGGGCAGCGCCGTTAGACTACCCTTTTCGATTTCCAACTGCCAAAGGGATTTTTAACGCGCGCACATGAGCGTCCGATCTCACTACCCAGAGACCAGGGGGAATTACCATAAGTTCAAGTGCCCGGGGAAAAATCCCAGCCCTTACTGGGGATTGTACCGGGAACTTCTAGCACTCGAGGCGGACACCGTGCCTCGAGACCACGCAGCCTCCTAAGATAAAAGGAGAGAGATGTATAGTATAGTTGGTCAGCTTTACAGAA